AGCCCCTTTTCTTTAGAGTTAGATGTTTCAGGAAATAATATTTTGCATACGTTATTTTGTATTGTGAATTCGTTCGTTTAAGTTCTGTACAACAATACGGGCGTTTTTATTATTATTCGTCCAGTGCAATACAATCAGTAGTGTTCTACGTCTTGATTCACAACGACACCTGACATATTCCCGCAGCATAAGTGGACCTGACTTCATCAGTCTTTCCCGCACAACCGCAACGCTACATCGCATCTATATATCAAGAGTACTCACAAGTGAACTTTTAGTTTAATTTAAATATATTTTTTGTTCCTTCATTCTAACTTAGTTTTTATTTATTTTCTTAATTCATTTAAGAGCTCTTCCATTGTCGCTTTGTTTAATTAATTTTTTAATTTAAAACTAATACTATAATTTTATATACTACTATACTATATTAGTTTTATTATTAAAATAAGAAACAAACTTTGTTTTACTTTAGCCGTAACTTATCTGTCTTTTTCTTATAATATATTTATTATTTATATTTGATAGCATTTTATTTTGCATGATATTGCCCATTGACGCTATCTTAAGGATTTTTAATATACAGAATCTCTAGAACCAATCAGGTGAGTGATTTGAGTGGCAAAGTGTCGAAAAATAGATCTGGCAACACATTTGGGAAAAGATTACCTCCCACAAACGGTCGAGGTCGCTGAATACCCAACATATCCAGTCTTTCTAAATTGAAGGAAAAAATAAATCTCATTATTCCTTAAATGTGAGCCGTTTGTTGCAGCGAAATACCAATTTTAAAAAAAATTAAGAACTATTTATAAACCTCCATTCCAGCGAATGGCGGAAAGATGCACGGTGTAACATCGGACAGGTACCAAAAAATTGTACGACAAATATTATACGTACAAGTAAACACTCCCAATTTCAAGAAATAAGACGGAAAAAACCGGCTTGTAATGCATTACATTCACAAAACAAACAGATTGCATTATCTCTGAAGAACAATAAAACACGATTGGAAAGTTTAATTGGAAGATCAAAGTTTCTTTGGATAAAAGTGATAGGTTGTGAGTTCAAACTGTAAGTAGGGAGTCCCACTAAAAATTTAAAATAATGTATTATTATTTTTATTATTCCATCAAAAAATATTTTATTGATATAATTAATTCTTTAATTTGCAAAGTATCGGCCAAAGTACTTTTGTTAAAGTTTTATATTTAATAAACCATATACAATCTAATTCTTATTTCACGCAAACTAGATTTTATTGGAGTTTTAAGACAACTGTTCGTAAATAGGTTGAAGAATCGGATTGTGTGCGAAATCGAGGTTTAAATGGACGTAGGGAGGTCACTGATGAGACCTGATTGATGAGTTGGTCTATTATCAGGGGGCTTTAAAGGGTCCCTTATCAACCCCACGAACCTCCATTCCGACATCGTTCGAAAAGGATAAGATAAATTCCCCTTGATCGACTGTATTGTGTTTAATTAATGGTAAAATCGTACTTTACCTATTTTCAGATTTTATCTCCTTACACATCTTTTTAAAATTAAAACTTAATAAAGTTTTTTGTTAACGTAGATAAATATCTCTTCACTTGAAATTCAACGAGAATCATATGAAGGGTCCAGTGGAAAAATGATGAGGTTACATTTTTTCAACATTTGAGAAAAACTAAATTTAAAGTTTCATGACTACTGGTGAAATAGTTTCTTTTTGGATGTTTGATTCAATAATTGTAATAACTTTAAATTAATTAAGGTTTTTGGTTGAGATAAAAAAGTCAGTATCACGAGCAGGATTCGAACCCGCGACCTTCGGCTAGATAAGCCGCTACTCTACCACTTGAGCTATCGTGACTTCGATCCACTCGGGCACTAACTTCCTATCGCAACCCCACCTCTTGAATTTTCTCTCCTTTTTGCCAAAAGGTGGGGTTGAGATGAACCTTAATTAATTGAAAGATATTAATTGGTCAAGCGGTCCACGAAACTAGTGAATTGTAATAACATTTAGAGTTCTTTCTGAGTAATTCTCATGATCCAAAAACCATTAAACCCTCATTTCGAACCCAGGAACGAATAAGAAAATACCATGATTACGAAATTTTATTATTAATTTCAAAGATGAACATACAAGTGAAACGAAAATTCTGAAATCATATCTATGGTAAAAATTTTAGAATAATTATTGTAAAAACAAAACTGAAAAAAGTTAACTCTAAGCTAAAAAGTTTTACGTTACTCATCGTCTACCTCATAATCAAAATAAACATAATCCAGAGTTTCTGTGGCAGTTATATTTGTGACCAAATTACTGTAAAACCTCTCGGCAACTTCTTTGGTAAGAAACGTTGTCAGGTGTTGCAAGCCATTATATTTTTCCAAATTAATAGGAAGGGGCCCATCGTAGGAGTTACGAAGCTTCTGTTTTGGTGCAGGGTTCTTCCCCTTTTTTTGCTTTTGTGTCACCCACAACACGTTGTTCTTATTATAAGCTCCACAGAATGAAGTGCGGTGGTGTATATACTGTGGTGTGTAAGAGATATCTTCAAATATCGAATCGTTCTTGTGGGTATTTCGGTTTGTACATCGGTACTAAGTGATTCGTCCACGATTTGAAAAATGCCCTCTTACAATCGATAACAGTGAACGGTTAGGGTTTGCATCTGCTCGGACCAATCACATCCCTCCATCCTTGAGGCATATCTACGTAGGATTTTTGATTAATCATGCTCAAATCTCTGTAGCACTCCAGATAGCTATGGCCACGGATTGGAAAGAAAACTTTTACACAATATATTCTCTGGTGGTGGAGAATGGTGAACAAATCGCAGAACTGTATAATTTTTATTTTGCCCTGCACATGAGTCACAAAAAATTATAAGCGTCTGTCGGCTTGTGGAAGAATTTTTAAATGCCGGACAGATGGATCCTCATCGTTCTTCCTTAGGCGCACAGGAGTCCCTTCGTTCTTCCATTCCATTTTCACACGCGATTTTTACTGGAATCTAATTGGTTTTGCCTAGCCACATTTGGCTGGTTAATAGTTAATGTCACAAGCCAACAAATGCCGGTGAAATCTCGATTCTGACAAAAAATGGACCCTCATCGTTTTTCCACTGTGCCCTTCATATGGTTTTCTATCCTTTCTTCAAAAACTTATTTGAAGAATTAATTATTTTTATTATTTAAAATTATTTATTATTATAATTATTTTAAAAATTACTTCGAAAAAAAATTGTATTTAGAATACCCAGTTTGATCTCCTACCGAGTATTTGCTAAGTAGAATGTTGCTATTTATAAATTTATTCAATCGGCGGTTGAGAAGGGTTGTATAAATAAATCTTGGCTATGGAAATTGAAAAATCACTGAATATTTTTTTATTTGGTTAGCATCTACCTGCCTTCACAAACGAATATAATAAAGTGAAGCTGTGTGATAATTCAATCAGGTCATAAATACAGGGATAAAAGTTTCCTAGTCGTTAAACAAAAAAGTATAAGCGTTTCTAAATATTCAAATGGGATACAGTCTAGAGGGTGTTCTTTTTAGATGGCCCAGCCGAATTTTTGTTGAAAACATTATTTTAAAAACAAACCATTGAATATTTTTCGATCGTGACAGGGTACCTCAGGACCACTACGACTTTAAAACTTGAAATACGACCCAATTATGTTCTTAATTTTAAAGGCTGAAATCAATGCCGGCACAATGAAAGCACAAAAATTCTTTATTTTGTTTGTTTCATTATTAATTCCACGATTTTCTATTATGGGCCATTGAACGAGGTGACCAAAGTGTCTGTTTTGCAATGGCTTCTGTGCACAGCGGTTTCGGGGGAATGGAAATCGATCTAACATTTAGATCGTTGAGAGCTGGTGGCTTTCCATTTTCTGTTTCATCAGAAGTCAAATTTCTTGGCCTGTATCTGATTATAAAGCTGTCGTGGGATAGGCATGATCCATGATTGCTCATAGAGGCGAACAAGTTTTCAATGTTCTAAAGAGCTGACTGGTATAGGATGAGGCACGGGTCTAAAAGGTTGGCTTTTTACAATTATACAATTCGAGCGACTGTTGACTATGGCTCTGTTTCATTGCTAATACTCCTGATTCTGTTCGACAGATATCTATTATCCAGAATAAATGCCGGGCAGATCTTCAGAGGTTTCCCCAGCACTATGTCAAACACCCTTTAATATCAAGCGTAAAAAAACTTGCAAAGGATTATTTAATCAGAATAGGTGCTAAAGCCGTCAGTTGTTTGAAAAAGTGGTTGGTTGGTGAAAAATTGGTTTAGCCCGACAGGTTTTTACAGATAACAACAACAACTCAACAATAAATAAAAACCCCTGCTGCTAACTGACTCCTGCCTTTGTGTTCACAATTTTCACTGCCAAAATTTTGAAGGTTTTTAAAAACCCTATCTTAGGCATCGTGGTTGAAGTCCATTTATTTAAAAAATTCAATATTCGACGTAAAGCACAAAACAATAATCACCGTGATACAGCATAAAATGACAAATTACACAAAAAGAAAGACAAAGGGAGAAAGAGAGCTTTTTTTTGGGGGGGGGATACTTAAAATTCCAACGCCTACATATAGTTAACAGACTAAAGTATTATATTTTTGGATGTCCCAGGAGTAAATGAAAAAGGCTTAAAACGTTTCCTTGTCGAACAAACTCTTTTATCATTATCCTGAAGCAATTATTTCCCCAGTTAAACACTGACATTCTGTACAATTTTGTGAGGTATAATTCTTGATGAGGAGTCAATTTCTGTATATATTTTATGTTAAACGTGGTTGAGAGAAGTGTTCTTATTTCAGTAGAAAAAAGATATGAGAGTAGTTTGTGTTGAATCAGAGAAGGCGATTTGCCGATGTAAGGACTTTCTTAGTCGACAAATTTCCTCGTCCGTGTAGCCTCAAGTCTAATATTGCGTGTAAAAGTTGTTGCCGATGGCCGTCCTAAACCAACAGGATCAAGAGGGCACTTGTGTCGGTGAGCCTCAACTTGCTCATCCGACCACCGCACTGCCTAAAAGGGAACCCGACTAGTCAAATATCCCGGTTAACTCAAGCGGAGAAATCAAATTCGACAGGCCATCTGCTTGTTTAAACCTCGGTCTACAATAAGCAACATGTTATTTTCCTACCTTAGAAACGGGTGTTTTTTTAAAAATATTTATAAACATTTTTGTGTTATTTCCAATATCCATAGTGTAGATTAGACGGGCATTGTAAAATGAAAAAATGTGCGTTGATCGACGTCCATACGAAATCTGTCCCGGACGTCGAAACTGAAGAGGAACGATGGGGTGCGCACCTTAAACAACTTGAAACCGCCCTAAAGGAATTCAGGGACGCGAAACGAAACGCGCTGGAACTCGGCGAAGAGGTACGTAACCGCTCACACCGCTAAAACAGATAGCTCAATTTAAATTAAAATTTAAACTTTTGCCATTGCGAGAAAACGGATTAATACAGCTGTATTGGTGAAAAACAAATAATTCCCTCTAAAAGTATAATCAGCTGTTAACTCAAAAGAAAGTTTGCAAACTACACATACAAGATAAAATTAAATTAAATAAAGAAAACTAATTTGTACCTAATCCAAAACTAAAGTTTATACCATCCTGATACCATCTATTACAAATATTTATTATGTGAGATGTAAATTTTTTCTTTTTTATGAGGGTTCGCGAGAGCAGAGGGGTGCGGTGATTTTTTCGGGTTCGAATGCAGGGCCGCTGGATTCGAACCGGGAACCTTTGCCTTAAGTGCTGAGCGCCATGTCAACGTTGCCCCTTAAAATTAGTCTTATATTAAAATTCAGGAATAATATCACTATTTAAAAAAAATTATTGACAGATTCCATCGTCATATTTCTGATATAGAATAGACAAGGGCTTCCCAAACTTTTTAGCCAGCGGACCCTTTCTCAAAACAAAATCCAGGGCGGACCCCCTTTCATTCAACATTTAAAATTAGATACTTATAGTATAGTAAATTAAAATTTGATAAATTAGCCAGTCTATTCCTAATTAGGTGTTGGATATCACTATGAAACAAACAATTGATTGAAATACTTAAATTTATATACAAAATCAGGAACGAAAAATCAAAGTGCAAGAACGGAATCAATAGTTACGTAACACTCGAGCCAATTTCAAAAGTAATAATTTGAACTTGAATAATTAATGAATTAACTAGAAGAGTGATGTTTTGTGTGTACTGTCCGTAATCTAATGAGCTTTATTTGTAAAAGAAAAAGAAATTAAATTTAGTGCCAGACCCTTGATTAGTAACAAAACAGGAAGGAAATTTAGTCTAGATCTAATTAAAATAATGCTCAAGGTCAAAGGAATTTTTTTAACAATTGTTTTTTTAAGTTTAGTTTTAGATTTCAATAGTTTTTAATCGTTTTTTGTTACTGTAAAATTACTGACTTTTTCACTCTGGTTCTAGGTACTTCTAGGTAAGTAAGTATATTGATAATACGTTCTTCTTTCGCCACGTTCACGGCGCCCATGTTAGGCTAAACCTTCGTGACTTGCGGGTCTTACAAAACTGTAATCGCCCCTTGAATCAGTCGAAAACCGAAACCTTCTTTCGCCAATCTAGCTACTTAATATAAGATACTTAATTTAATGTAAACGAATAAGTTACTTTAGATAACAATTTATTACCTAGATATCCACTTAATAACGCATATCACCGCCTCACGTCTCGCTTCTAATAGCCTAAACCTAACCTATGTGTTTAATAACAAAAAACAAACTGTTATTTTTAGGAACCGCACAAATAAAATAAGGGAGAAACTCAATGGTATAAGGAACCAAACAACAGGAAAATTGTATTAGCCTGAAATACTTACATTTTAGAGAAAAAAACCGCGATAAACTTTATGACCATTTACGTGAAATTAAAATATAACTAATAACCAGATTGTTTATAATGATAGTACTAACTCGTTTAAAACTGTGCATTAGATTATAATGAGCTTTATTTGTAAAAGAAAACAAATAAAATTTAGTGTCCGACTCTTTATTAGTAACAAAACAGGATGGAATCTTAGTCTGGAAAATAATGTTCAAGGTGAAGGGAAAATTTATTTAAGTTTACATTTAGTTTCAAATAGTTTTTTGTTATTGTAAAATTATTCACTTTTTCACTCTGGATATACATAAAGTTTAATGATAGATTGTACGTTTTTGTTTCGCCACTTTCTCGGCGACCATGTCAGCCTAAACCTTCATGACTTGCGGGTCTTACAAAACTGTAATCGGCCCTTGAACCAGTCGAAAACAGAACCTCTCTTTCACAAATCTAGCTATCAATACAAGATAATTAATTTAATGTAAACCAAAATAAACTAATAAGGTACTTTACCTAACAATTTCTCACTTAGATTTACACTGAATAACGCGTATCACCTCCTCAAGTCTCGCGGAGGGCCTTAAGTCTCCTAGACATCGAGTAAATAAGAGCTCAGATTTCTTCTAATAGAACAGAATCCCATTTTTTAACGAGAGCTGTTTGAAACTGTTCAACGCTTGTTAGAGGTGGCGAACGATGTCCAACCCCTCTCTAAATTTTTTAGAATCAAAAGTAAAAATGAGGTGGAGCATATAAGGAACGGAATGATTTCTTTTAAGCACAAATTCTTCAATATAGATTTATAATTAAAGGACGTATTTAACGCGCAATCGCACTTTTTTATTAACTTTTATTGCAATAAAACCAAGACAGTACTCCGAATCAGGGAAATGGCATTCTTTTACGATACTCGATTTTTTCAATCTTTTTATGCATGGAAACTACGTGTAAATGTTTCTAAAAAATTGTTTTATATTCGACATCCGCTGTGTTCTTTCAGTTGCGTATTTCTCACTTCCCATTCTCATTTCTAGTCTTTATTCTGTTTAAATTTGATGATTATTAATTAAGGGCCTGGGATTTATAAACATTGTTTAAATTTTACAAATACATGTAGGATGTGAAAAAATGAATTTATACAATGATAGAAAATTTTAGATTAAAAAAAAGAATTTATACAATGCTAGAAAATTTTAGATTAAAAAAAAATGAATTTATTTTGTATATCACCACTTCTTGTGGTGAAATGAGTCATGGCTTAGGGTAATAATTCTGTGAAGTAGTCCTTTGGCCGTGTTTTATTGTATGAAGAGGATGGTGTGATTTAAGGTTGAGGTAGCGATCTGTTTTTCTTGGTTTTTGATACCAATATGTGATTAATGTGCCATCTGGTTGTTTGATACGAGTGTATCTAAAAATGGTATTGTTTTGTTGTTTTCGATTTCATGTGAAAATTGAAAGCTATTAAATGTATCTAATGTAGTTTGAATTTTATCTAGATCAAGCCATGAACCATTTCACCACCAGAACATAAAGATATACAAACATATCCTCCATAACAATCACTACCCTAAACGCATAATCAACAGTATTATCAACAACTACAACTCAGGACTAACACCATCCACTATTACTAATAATACTACATCAAATATATCAGATACAGACAAACCAAAACACATTTCCATGCCATTCATTCACGGCCTATCACATAAATTATACACATTTCTCTCTTTTGACAACTTTAAAATAATCTAAAATTAAAGATCCCACACCAGTAATTTGTAAATCTGACGTAATTTGCAAAATCAATTGTATAAATTGTTCGGCAACTTACATTGGTATTACATCCCAATATCTGGATAAGAGAGTAAAGCAATATATCATAAAGCATTATCTTTGACTGCAAAAAAGCCAAACAAAATCCGACTGCACTAGCTACCCACCACTTTGAACACCAACACAATTTCGACTTCAACAATCCAAAAATATTACACACAGAACAAAACAAACATAAACGTAACTTTTTAGAAATCAACAGAGATAAACACAGCATCAATTACAGAACAGACACATGTAAACCCAGTCGCAGCTACGCTAATATCATTAATCAACTTCAATATCGATAACATACATATATCATCATCACATCACACAAAACATATAATACGACATATAAAACAATCATCACATTCCACACATCAAACATTTCTACATAGTCTAATTCTTCAGCAATTTGACTTTCCATTCCCTAATCATCCCCGTCTGTATAATCCTGAAAAGATAATCAGGACCATTTACCAGGATAACCATTTCCCCTTTTTTCCTATCGTCGGATCCTTTCACCTCAAAGAAGCTGACTCCTCATATAAAAATGTATTTCTAGTCCTGACTTCCCTCCCCACCCTTCAAAATCCAACGTATATAAACATAAAACATCAATATCTCACTGGCACTCTCAACACGACAGACAATAATGAGACACCTACACGGTAAACAAACACTTTGAGTAAGTACAAATATTTTGATTGAATCTAAAAAATTTTAGCATTGTATAAAATTTTTTTTTAATCTAAAATTTTCTAGCATAGTATAAATTCATTTTTTTTCATCCTACAAGTATTTGTGTAATTTAAACAATGTTTATAAATCCCAGGTCCTGAAGATGAGCTCAATAAAGATCGAAACGTTGACACGATAAAGAAAATGTTTTTCTAAAACCTACGTCACACCAGACCGCATATAAAGACCTCCAAATAATCATCTAGTAACGGTCACTAAACACTACACATTCCGTTCAAAGCAGAGATGAGTCACGTAAAAAAATAATTTGTATTGTATCAATAGGCTCTAGTTGTATATATACATTCGTGCATAATGTATTTTAAAAATGAATACCGGTTATAAAATAAGCTATCACATCATAAACAATGTTTAAGACAGAAATTAATTTTATTAAGTAAATAAAAAAATTACTAGGTTAAATGTAAATTTTACCTTTATTACACGTTTTTACTCGTTTTGAAAGTTTTTACTACTCAAAAATCCAGTCCTTACTGGATTACTTTAATGGTTCGGTCTATTATCGATGAATTAAGTTTCCCTCATAGGCGTTTTGGTTTCTCATCATCATCAGAGGGGCACGCGTATGAGTGAAACGTAGGCAAGCAAGAACAAGAAGAAGTTTTGATGAGAACCAGATGTTGTTATTATTAAGTGAGATTTTTTTTACAGACACTTTTTCCTATTGAAGTGTCCAGGTGGAGAGTGGAATGGTGCAAAAGACCCAACCAATACCGGCTGGATTTGTCTGGAATATCGGAAGGCCTTCCAGCTATAATTGAAGGAGACGAATCCGAAGAAACCGGTAATAATTAAATTATAAAAAGTGCAAAACATTCTATTGCTCTAATTAGTGCCACGTGCCTTTTTAGATTGCTTCTCCCAGGGGAAAGACTATAAGAAGACAAAACGTAACGTTTCGTAACTGTAATAGAAGAATTTCACGTCATCCGTCTCAGATTGTTGGTTTTAGGTGCTGAAAACATCGGGGTCCACAAGACCGACCACCCCCCGGAAGAATTCACCGGCGAGGGGCCGATCAAAGAGGTAGACCAGGAGAAAAGAAAGGCCCATGCTCTTCAAAACGGGGATGTCGGATCCAAACTAGATCCAAACATTGATATTAAGGACCTAAAGAAAAGTAAGTTGACGACTCAAGAAAAAAAAAAGATTCAACGAAAAAAATATACAATACAGTGGGTGCTTTTGAGTTGTTATCTTACGGTTGATATTTAAACTCTTTTACTCATACCATCTTTCTACATAGTTTGGGACGTTGTGCATTTGATTCAACAGAATATCAAATAATTTATTATCATTTAATCTAGATATGTTTGGGGAACACAGTATTATTTTTTTATTTATTTATTTTTTTTTATTTCCTTTTTTATTTTCAAATATTGCTAAATTATTGTGATTTGCGTCCTCAGCAGATAGTTGCTTGTCATCGCCGGTGTACATCAAATCGGGAAATGACGACCACGAGCACAAAAAGACCTTCTGGACCAAGCTGAGAAGCAAGTTGCACATAAATCATGATAGCAGTTAGGTAAACAATTGCTATAAAACAGAAACGTTTTGAAGAGAAAACCTGAGCACTACGAGTTGAATTTGAAAAAGCCAAAATTATTCAACTGTAGAGTTATTTTTTAATTGTTTTCTATTGCAGGTTGGTTTTGCCGGCAGAAACTTCATTTTTAGAGACGTGTAATAATGGGATACTCTATTAACGATGATTTTCCATTGCCTGATTGTAACCTAATAAATCATTGAAAGGCTAAATAGATGATTATTTATAAGTTAGATAAAGATTAAGGGTTATAGAATAAAAAGAAATATTCAAAATTTCCTTTATAAGAAAAACCTTTTATCATTATCTTCTCTTTAATTTAACTGATAAGTTAATTAACATAATAGGAATTAAATGAGTAAATTGTCTGTATTCAAAGCTAAAAAACGACCCGGGGGTTATAATTCGACCCTTCAAAAGACAGCCGAGAGAAGTCCAAAAGTTTCATCAAGTGAACTTGATAGCCCGGGCTTGTACTTTTCGCCCATCAAAACGCCGTCAATTCCCCTACTTAAAAACTTTCATAAAAGCGTAGCCAAAAAAAAGAAAAGTTTTTTATCGGTCGCATATGTTTTTCACACATGTCCCGCCGAGAATGGGCAGGGGTGAACGAGAACCTTCATAGGATCTGCCATGACGTACGATTCGATCTCGAAAAAGAGGAAAGCTCGTACAAGCTATATCGGCTTTGCGAAAACTTCGCCCGGCGTACTGGCGACCGCGAGCTTGAAGTTAAACTTCAGCGGCGATTCGCCGGCGCTTGGGCGGACGGCTTTCTTCACAGCCCATCGACTTCAATGCGTAAACTCAAAAACAAGAATATATACAACATCCTGCTTCCTCAAACCCGCTACAAGGATTTCTTAAGAAGGTAGTTTACAAAAAAAAATGAAGTGTATTCTTTCATTCCGCTTTTTGAACGTTTTACAGCATTGACGAACGACAAATCGACAGGAACTTCCTTATCAAAATACTATACATTTTAGCGGGGGTTGTTGTCGGCTTGTTCTTCTTATTTATCGCATACGTTACTTCCGTCCTGGTTGTCAACGTATTGAGGTGCATTTGGTACAGCTACAACAGCCATTCTAAACGAGATGTTTCCAGCTGGGTCAAAGTGAGTACTTGCAGAAATTGGGGTCAATTAATCATGCAGAGGGGTTTTTTTGTGCTTTAATTTATCAGAAGGGCCAGAGAAAGCACGACTACATCGTTAGCGAAGCTTTGATAGATGACTCAGGTGTAAAGAACTATTTATTCAGGTAAACGTTAACATCTATCTTTTGAAATACAATACCGCTGTTTTAAAAAAACAAAAACATCATTGCCTTATTGATTTAAAAAACAAATAAGGCTGTAAAACATTACATTAAAATTGATTTAATTTCAAAACAAACGGTTCTTAATAACTTTTTAAACTGCTTAATTAGAGGGATAATTTCAGAATATTATATTTACAAAATCCATGATAACTTTAGAGTTACTCAACAGAAATATAAATTAAACTATTTTGGACCGATCAGCAATACGAGGTCGAAAAATATTAGAAAAGTGCCCAAATGATTTTAACCAAGGGCCCATGAGAAAAATGATTCAAAGTAAAATTTTTTGGTGGTTGGTTTAATACAACATAATATGTACATAAAACAAGCATAAAATAAAACCTACAAATAAGGGTAATATTACATTAAAATTATATTAAATCTGTATAATAAATTTTCGGAAGAGGAAGCGCAAATTTTTCAACGCAAATGTATTTATCTTGTGGAAATTCAATGTACTTTGTGAAATAAAGGTCATACTGGTGTTTTAATGACGCTAAAGTTGAGAAATTGCGATTTTTAAAAAAAATCTTATGTTAGACTAAAATCACACAAATGTTAACACACACACACACACACACACACACACTCACACGCTCACACTCACCCTCTCTCTCTCTCTCTCTCTCTCTCTCTCTCTCTCTCTCTCTCTCTCTCTCTCTCTCTCTCTCTCTCACACACACACACACACACACACACTCTCTCACACTCACACTCATACTCACACACAAGCACAAACAAACAAACAAAGACACATACACACACACATATATATATATATATATATACATAATAGTATCCTTATTAGATGACCCTGCTGGAATCTTCTTTCTTAATTCATGAACCAATGACGGGATCAAAAAATACGTTTAATGTTTTTTAGTCTAGTTTCAAATTTTTACCTTTCGTAAAAAGTAACGTATACCTCAGGTCCAGTTCAACTTCCCAATTTCCAATATGACCCTATACATCCTGACACTTCATTTTAAAGGATTTTTTACGCTGATAACAATGGTACAATAGGATTTTAAATTGGTCAAAACATGACATAGTTATAGCAAAAAGTTCGAAACAATTATTTTTCGTTTATTCTGTTATTAATGCTTGCCCCAATCCATCTCCGTTGACTCTGTCGCTCTGAGCACTGATTGGTTAAAAAGAGCAAATCTTTGCATCTTTACCCAAGGCAGGCAGTTCGAACATGAAATGTGATTAATAAATAACAAACCAAATGATGTTTTGATCAATTTAAAATCCTACTGCACCATTGTTATCAGCGTAAAAAGTGCTTATGTGTCAGGATAAATAGAGTCGTATTTGAAGGTACCCTGTATAACTTTTCTACAACAAAGGTAAATATATATATAATATACATATATATTTGTGTGTTTTAACATTTTTGTGATTTTAGTCTAAAATCAGATTTTTTAACACAAAATCACAATTTCTCAACTTTAGCGTCATTAAAATACAAATACTCGGACACTAACTTCCCATCTCAACCCCACCTTTTGAATTTTCCCTCCTTTTTGCCATTTTTCAAATGTCGTCCGAGTGGATCGAAGTCACGATAGCTCACGTGGTAGAGCAGCGGCGTATTTAGCCGAAGGTCATAGGTTTGAATCCCGCTTGTGACAATGACTTTATTAACTCAATCAAAACCTTATTTTAAAAAATTAATTAATTGAAAAGAATTTATTCGGTCAAGCGGACCACGAAACCTAATCATTTTATTATGAAATTATAGTTTAATTATTAACCACGCATGCACCACAATACACAATACAAACCTTTGCGTCATAAATTTAATCAATCAATTCTATGTTAAATAAATTGTATAACATTATTAACAAATTACGTTGACATATTCTAAAACGATGTGTTTTCAGTTGCACACCGAAAAAGGGTAAAGCTCAATGGTGCGATTTTTTTAAATTGGACATTTTGAACCAGAGTTGTGATGAACTCGATGGATCCAAATGTTGAGTTCGATCTTTCTGGACACGCAAGGTCGAGATTTGCTATTTTTGCACCGTAGTGTATAACGCGAATATTTTCTTACAGAAAACGCTTTTTTTATAAACAAAAAAAAAAAGACGCGATTGCTTTACAAATCAACTTATCTCCTCCTGGCTCTCCACTCAAAAACTATTCTTACCCTAGGAAAAGCTCACGTTCGCCAATTCGCTATACAGGGAGACTTTCACGTTTTTCCCCGTTTATACAAAGCTTCGGAGCCGGCCTAAAAACAGTATACCATGCTGGCAATAGGAGCCAATTTTAATAGGAAATTCATCAACCGGACCAAAACATTGCATTGACCTCCAGTGTCATTAATTTGTACGAAACAACTCCCTTTTAATGATTTTTTACCGTTCAGCAGGGACGAAAAGGCGAACTGGGAATTTTTACTCGATGAAACGATAGACTGGTTCGCGAGACAAAAGAAAACAGACGATCTTATTATCTGCAAGCTGAATATGGATATGGCTTCAAATGGGGAGAAAAGGTAATATTTTAGTTGCTTGTCTCTGATAATTTGTTTCCTTTTAAATTAAAATTTAGTTTAGAGACATTGACGAAAAACCTGATGTGGCGGGGTCACCGATTTTAATACATAACTTTTGGGGATTACTACATTAAAAAATATTACACTCATGTCCGAGTGGTCCAATAGGCCTACTGAACCGAGAAAAAATGTTTTAAATAATTTACTTTGTGACAAAAAAAATGGGTTTTTATAATGTAATTATTGTAAGAGAGGAAAGTGGTTTCTTTTGCCCCAAAATCAAATTTTTATTTTCTCGCCTTGATCAGTTCCTTTTTTTGTAAGGAAGTATGTCACCGATTTTAATACATAACTTTTGGGGATTACTAAAAATATTACACCCATGTCTGAGTGATCCAATAGGCCTACTGAGCCGAGAAAAAATGTTTTAAATAATTTCTTTTGTGACAACAAAAAAATGGGTTTTTATAATGTAATTATTAATTGTAATGAAGGAAAGTGTTTTTTTTTCTTTTGTTTGGAGCGGATTTTGGCAGGACTGGAACCCTGGAGGACTCGGCAGATGGTTGTTGCTGGAACAACGATTCCAAAGTAAAATTGTTAGATTACAGAAAAGACTGCATCTAGAAGGAATTTTTGTTCTTTTTTTATTTTATTTTTTCTTTAACTCCACATTAACCTATCTTTTTTTTCTGGTTTGGCTTGATTATTTTGCATGACCAGGTACCTCGTAAATGTATAAATAATCATTTAAGTAGAAGGAACTCAAATGTGACAAGGAGAAGGTAAGGTTCCTGATCATGACCCACCATGTGAGGCTTTTTGTTTGTCCAAGACAAGCGAAAACACAAAACTTTAAAATCCAACTGTACCACCCCCTAAAAATCTAGCTCTTTTTGAGTGGTGACACTTTTCTTCCACATATTAGCTCTCAGTGATTTAAGTGAGGAGCGATTTTTCCTTTTTTTTTTTGTTACAACAATTTCACAAAACACCAATATGACACCACAAGAATAGCACCAATCTCCATTATCTAGACCTCTTTGTCAAGTCTACGGCTTTTTATCCTTCAAGCCTTTTCTTTTCTTCATCCAAGAAGAGAACTCAACCTACATTGGTCTACAAACCAACAGAGGTTTTTCCTGGCAATACCTGCACAGGATTATTTCTGTTGTGAGGTGTCCTGTCAGCAGTCCTATTATTATTTTAGTCCTAACGCGGCTTAGGTTTTGTCGTTCTGCTGTGGTCCTTAAATGAACTATTTTGTTTGACTCTGTCCTGAAATACATTCCAATTAAACTAAGAACATAATCTTAACCCACTGTCTGATGTATTTTTGTTAAATTTCCCTGGTCAATTTATCAACCACCCTGTTTCCCCTCTATCCTGAATGTCCTGATATCTAAGTGTATTTTGTTGTTGTCTCTGATGTCGTCCCAAATGACTAAAATTTAGTACTGATGTTAGTTGCCTATACTATTGGGTTGTCCGGAAAATAATGCAGGATTTTAAGTTTTCATTAAAAAAAATCTATATAAAATATTCTGTTTACGTTTACAGGATTACTCATTTGTATGAATNTGTGTGTTTCAATTGAGAAAGTTATTCAATTTAGAGTAGATAGCATTCATAGATTTAAATTTTTTTAGATTTTCTTACTTATAAGAAATTGTAATAGGTATTTATATTTTGAAAATTCAAAAAGGAAATTCAATCCTATAAATTTAGTAGGTCTTGACAAATCCAGTTTTCTGAAGTTATGTGTCAACGTCCTATGAAGTTCGGACTCTTTCTCTTTCCTAAATACCAGTCCCCACAAATATTTTTTTAGCTACTTCTAATTGTATATTTACATATTTCTTAACAATATTTTATGAATTTTGATCAATTTTTTTTCCAGGCAAACAAATAATGCCACCTGCCAAACACAGGCAAATTCCCCTACATCCCCAAGAACATGTTTCCTCAAAGAAATCCCCTACTGTATGAATAAGGATGTAATAATTAATGAATGCTACTTAAACAGGTACATGATGGGCACCTTTTTAGATCTTATTATTATTTTCCTGCTCTGAGAAGTTTTTGCAGTTCAAATTTCTAATAATTTGACTTGAAATTAATCATTTTTTGCCCAAATATTAGATGTTTAAGAATTTTGATATTATTTTTATTGTTTAGTGCGAGTCTTGCCTGCATTGAAATTACAAACGAAGACAACGATGAAATCAAATGAATTTAAGACCAATAATATTGTAAATAATATAAATACAATCACATTGTATGATCATTGTTTATAGTTTTTATATCATGTTGAAACAGTATTCTGATGTTTATTTGACTAAAAGTTTATATTTGGTTTAAGATTGGAAAATTTGTTTATATATGTAAACTGAATATATTATATTTTATTTATAAAGAATAAATGTGCAATTTGGTCTGAACAACAATAATGAACCAATTTTCTGAATTTAAGGACCATACTTAATGAAACAAAACACAATTTAAATACAACAATGTTAGTTTCAACAAAGGACGGGAACTAGATTAGTTTGAGATATTGGAAATCAAAAAATGTAAAATTAAACAAGAAGATGAATACATAAATAATTAATAAATTTTGATTTGCTTCCTGTATATAAGTATCTAAATAATATTTTATGTACAAATTAATTCATTCAAGTGTATTATTATTTTATTATTAATTTATTAATCTATTATTAATTTCTTTATTTTATTTTCTTAATTAACTAATAAAAGTCCTACAAATTAACCACTAATTTACAGTTACTTTCTTATTGTACTTATTAAGATAATATCACACAACCGCAAGCAAAGTGACACAACTCAACAAAAGAAAATTTCACAGAAGAGAGAGATGGGAGTTTACTTTTTTAAATTTATGTATTAAGTACATGCCAGTATGGTTGTTCTCAATGAAAACTGTCATGATCCATTAATATTGTTTCTTGTTTGTCCATTAATATTGTTTCTTGTTTGTCCAAGACTTAAGCGAAAACACAAAACTTTAAAAATCCAGCTGTACTACCCCCTAAAAATCTACTGCTTTTTGAGTGGTGACACTTTTCTTCCACATATTGGCTCTCAGTGATTTAAGTGAGGAGGATTTTTTTTTTTTTTTTTTTTTGTCAACAATTTCACACCACCAATATGACACCACAAGAATAGCACCACATTTTATGTTCTGAAGATGACCCAAATAAAGGTAGAAACATCGGCCAAAAACAAGTTTTTCTAAACTATCTCATTCCAGACCACTCCTCAGGAATCCAACAAATTATTAAGCAACCGCTCACTAAAAACACAGGCGTTAAAGTATCAACTAATTTTTTACTCACAAATACCCTGGATCAAAGTCTTGAACAAAAAACCAAATTCAGATGTTACTGCTAACAATTGTTACTGGCCAATTTAAAGGTCATCATCAGGGCCTATACTAATTTCGCATTTTGAAAATCAATTGTACAAGTATATTTTTTGTAATGGATATTTATGCTTGTTTTTTAGGTGTGTATGTTGTCTGTTTCTACCACAAAGAAATAATACCCTTACTGTCATTTATTGACCACCATTATCGATAGAGCAAACAACTAACTTAAATTACTGAGAGCCAATATATGGAGAAAAGTGTCACAACTTAAAAATGGGAGTTTTTTAGGGGTAGTACAGCTGAATTGTTAAAGTTTTATGTTTTCACATAAGTCAGCAAAAAAATTAAAAAAAGATACTTCTAACATTGAAAACTAACGATGTTTTGTTATATTTCGACCTCAACAGTTTAATTTATGACTTTTCCTTCTTGAAGGTGGTATAATAGGTCATCTCAAAAAAACCACAACCAGTTTTTCCACAGTTGCGTTAACTCACCTGAGGAAGGATTAAAATAAATCTGAAACGTAGATAAAAACTGGTTGTGGTTTTTAAAAGATGACCTATTATCCCACCTTCAAGAAGGAAAAATCATAAATTGAAAACTAAAATAATTCTAAAATTAATATTACTTTGCTTATGCAATGAGGAGAAAAACGCAGCATAAGAACTATGAATCCCGTAAGATTCAATTAAGGATATGCATTCTTCTTTTTTCGCATAAAATATAATTTTGATAATTCAGTATTTACAATATTTGGATTTTCTATAACATTTATGATCCCCAACTTTGAAGCTGAGCATTTATGCTTCCCAGATTTGTCTGAAATAAATCCATAAATCTGAAGAGCCAGAACTATTAACATTACTTTTTTTCCCATTAGCCATTATCAAATTGCAACGAGAAGATCCAATATCCGTAACACTTTGTGCTAAAGTCAAAGAGTGGAAATTGAAAACTGACAGACTTCATTACCATTATTGACTCGCTTCGGCGGTACATATACTAAAATTGGAACGATACAGAGACCATTATTGACGGCAATTTCCTTCTTGTCGGTTTTCAACAAATTTAAAAACAGTTTGTCCACGTGATGTAAGTCTCTTTTACCAATATTTAAAATTATACGTATTTATATTATATAATATCCAAATAAACTCTAAATCATGAATGTATCAAAGTTGCGATCCCTTGACATGCAGGAGTATAATATTAAGATGTGTCTGTTATTATAATAACAGTAAGTTATTACAGAGCAGTATAAAATCATTTACTAAACAAGGAGAAAACTGACCTGACTAGAAATGTGCCCTTTTTCTTGATAAATACACCGATGCTGTAATGCTGGACACATAACTACGACATACCACTTTTTGCCAAAGGAAACATGCGTTCCCGCCAATTCAAAAATGCCACATGTCAGCAGCCTACTAGATCATTGTCCACCTACAGTGATGTCTTTTTTCCTGCTGCATCACACCCGAATACTTCAAAAACTAAATAATCCAGCTTTTAGAATTTTTCGACTTATCACTTTTTGAGTTTAGGGATGGTTAGGGATCACTTTTTGATGTGTGCGATATTTAGTTGTGTTGTAATTAACGGTTTTTGCAATTTCAAAATTGAGCGCCAATAAAATCCCGCTTCTCATTGGTTGACTGGGGATCGGCGGGTTCACTCTTACATTTCATGCCGAGAGAAGTGGTTGCAACTACTTTCAACATGATGATGGGCTTTAAGATTGAAATCCAAGACAACTTTAAACAAGAAATTTGTGAGTAGAACAACTTTTTTACAAAAAGTGAGTGAATATATGTAAATTAGTGAGAATGTATTTAAGAGTGAATGAGTGTGAATTGGTGCTGAATGACCCAAACCAGGTGATTTCGGCAGATAAGACAAAAGGACATGATGGTTATGAAAAAGGTTCAAATCTTTTCTGAAAATTAATGCTAGGGTGATCTTCAGCTTCTAGAATAAACCGTCACGCCAGACTAAAAAAATGCAATTCACCATGGAGAAAGGTCCCCGAAACACTCTTTCTCAAGAGAAGATGCAATAGTTGGCGATGTTTTGTTGTAGAATGGTATCCTGAATATTTCAATACAATCCACATTTTTAGCTTTGTTAATTTATCAGCCTGTGAGGTGGTATGCTACTGTGCACAGACATGGGGATACACAAATAGCATGCTTCCATCTAAAATCAAGATTTAATCAGAAACGCTCCTGGCTGCTTACAGTTACACTCCCAACTCTAACCTATTTAGTGGAAATTAAAGGTAAGGTTAAAAGGAGTCGTCCACTTTAAAACCTAGCGCACCACTGGTTTATTGTGCAATCTCCTTATCTAGAGCTCTTCGTCAAGACTAAGGCTTTTCGTCCTTCAAGCCTTTACTTTTCCTCTTCCAGGAAGTGAATCTCAGCCTACATTGGTCTCCAAACTAACAGAGGTTTTTCCTGGCAATACTTGCACAGGATTATTTCTGTTGTGAGGTGTCTGTCAGCAGTCCTACTGTTGTTTTAGTCCTAATGCGAATTAGGTTTAGTCGTTCTGCTGTGGTCCTTAAATTAACTATTTTGTTTGGCTCTGTCCTGAAATACATTCCAATTAAATCTTAACCCACTATCTGATGTATTTTTGTGAAATTTCCTTGGGCGAATTATCAACCTCCTCCCCTGTTTCCCCTCTATCCTGATATCCAAATAACTGTATTTTGTTGTTGTCTTTGATGTCGCCCCAAATGACTAAAATTTAGTACTGATGTTAGTTGCCTATACTGCCACCTTCTGTCCTAATAGGTGCCTGAGCTTAACAGTTTAATAATATACTTAAATGTTAATTATGTAAAAAAATCATCTTGAAGTGGTTGATAATACCGCTATTGTGAATACCCCCCTTTCAAGAAAGAACAATCTACATAAGGTGGATATTTATGTATTACGCTTGACTCCCAATTCAAACAAGCCAGGCCAACTCTGAATCCTGATTATTACGAAATAGCTCCAGATGTCTTGATCAGACATGAATACACATTGAACAGATTAATTAATTAAACTGAAATTAAATATTTTTAAAACAATTTTATTAATTAAACATAAAACTGATGGTAATTTACATAAATTAAATTTATTTCCTCTTTTCTATAAACAATTAGAAATTTTTTAATTTGGCCAAACAGGAAATTTATTTCTTACAAACTCTTTGCCACACCATAAGGAAAACAATGGTGGACACTATTCAATTAAATTAATCCACTATGAACGAAGATTTCTTCATCACTATTTTTTAGAATCTAACAGTTTTAGTCCCTCATTCATGAATGAGCTGCATTCCCTAAAAGTGGGGATCACTTTTTAAAGCACTGTAGGACTAATTGTGAAGTCTAAATCACAAAGTTGTCACTGCAAAATAAATTGAAGTGTGACATATATTAAAAAGTGGTGAATCAAAAAGTCAATTAAAATTAAAAACAATAGAAAAAAGTATATTTATTATACAATATTGGCTACAAAATAGAGTCACACACAGTCTCTAAAATATTTTTTGTTTTACCAACAAAACAATTACTGAAGAGCCATCAACATTTCAATTTTAGAATTAATAAAAAAATTCTTTGGGAATGTATCACATTACAAAAATGATAATATAATTTTAAAAGTTGCTTATATAGAAACAAAGCTGGGGATTAACATAATAAGAAAAAATATTAACAATTATTACAAAAAAATAAATACAAATAAAGTAAAGTTGTAAAAAAGAAAATGAACTGTAAACAGTTTAATAATATACTTAATTTGATTAAAATTCATGAGGAACAGTTGGATAGACATCCAACTTAATTGCCACCCAATTTTAAGAACGGGTTTACACATTTTGGCAGGGAGAAAATGATATTTCAAAAATATCGTATAAAGAAGCTACTATTATGCTCATCTTCTCTTTGGCCTCGGAGATATCAATGGACACAATTGGGTCCCTTATTTCTGGAAGATAAATGGTCTGTTTCCGATGTGGTTCCATTTTGTCAAGGTGGAACAAATCCTTGAGCTGCTTTATATAAAATACTGCTATCAGACCTGAAAATATAACTTTCACAACTTTTCCCTTAGACTTTACCTTAAAACATACTTATATCTGTTCCTAAAAATAAATGATTGGCGTAATAAAATCCACAGCATACATTTGGAAAGATATCACATGAGTAGTTCTTCTCTTCTCCGAGTACATTTACTTCTAGGGGATGGTGCGAGTTTACTGAAATAAGCACAATATTTTAAACAAAACCAAAAGAAACAAAATCATCACAGCTTACAGGCATATGTGAAAGAGATGATCGCATCAATGCCAATGAAAATTCTCATTAGCAGTTCGCCACCAGGAAGATGCATTTTGCTGAATGGATGTTTAACTTCGTTAAAATATTTATCAACAACTAATACTTTATCAGCATCATCTTTCATCATTATCTATAAACAGCGAGCAATTAAAGCATGTCTGCTTTAAATAAAAACAAATATGATCAAATTTTACATAGCCATTCCAGACAGTGAGTAAATGGTATATTGCAGGATATTCCTTGGAAGCTGTGCCATCCATAAAAGTTGATGTGAATTTTGACGTGAAATTCGTGAAATCGGCAGTTACTTCATGATCCTCAAAAGCGCTTAAAAAAATCAATTTATGGATAAATTAATCCACATTAACAATTGTTGTCTTGCTTCAGGTTTTAGGTTGGGAATTAGGCTCGCTACTCTATCCCAATAAAATGAACCCACAAAAAAAAAAAAAAAAAAAAAAATCTTAAGGGTAACATCAACTCATGCAAATGTAACGTTAGGAATACTTCTGAGCTAGAGGTTTGTTAGAAAAGGAACTTTTGAAATTGAAAACGAAATATTTGTGTCCTAACCAAGGCAAAAATAGATGTAGTCACTTACATGTATTGCACATACTGAGGGCGAAGTTTATTAAGGAGTGTGACTACATTCGTATGAAGATTGAACCGCACTGCCATTCTAACTGACATATCTAATACTAATTCATCATGGCCTACATTTTCCAATGCACTGAAACCTTTAAAAATAAACTATATGCACAGACAAACCTTTAAAAAAGATAGGCAATACATACTGATGAAATCAGGTTCTGTTGTACACCTGAGGTACATGGATTGTATCGGTCCTAATACCATTAAAGTAAAAACTTTTTCCTTCGCAAAAGAATATGCATTCAATTGGCCATTTCTCATGCCAATGAATAACCACTCACCTGGAATAAAATGATAATGATATAATTATCAATATTTAAAATAGTGAAATATACCTGAAGTCTTGATGCTAACAATGTCGGCTGACATAGTGGCAAGATGTTTGACATATTTTGTTCTCTTTAAAAAATGCTGCCACTGCGTCCACCTTTGGAATATGTAAAGGTAATCCAGTCTTTTTGCACTATCCATCCAATACTTTGGCATGTGGTGTCCGATAAAGTCATAAATCTGTTCCTCGGGTATCTCGTTTATACAGACTTCAAACCATCTCTGAAGAATACTTTTCATTTTATTTTTCGGAGAAAATTTTTAGGGGGTACTAGCAAAGCTTACATTCCATCCAGAAGGCAATGTTGAATCAATGAGGGTTCTCCAGTCTTTGCAGACTTGCCTACATTTGGCGAGCGTCTTACCATCAACAAAATCGAGAATATACGAAATCATTTCAATTGGAAGGTTGAATTCCTTTTCTTGGCATACATCACTTGGCAGTTCAGGGAGTGATTCCACTTCTGTTTTTTCATCCATTGCAACAACACTGTCTAAAATATTCAAAGATTGTGTAAACATTTTTTTTTTTAATAAAGCCTGTACATATGAAAATGCATATTGCAAATTTGCGTGTACATGGTCTTTTTTTTATTACGGTCACAACCTTAACACTATGACCCATATGCAGGGTGGGCGACCAAGACCCGAGGGGTTAAATGCCTGGGTAGACTCGTATCCCATCCCTAAGAGGTCCGGGACTTGGTCGGCTCATGTGTCCTCTCCTTCAAAGATTTCAAATCTAGATCTAGCATACCTATCACACTCTGCGAGGGAGTGCCTTGCCGTTTCTTCTTTTATTTTGCAAAAACGGCAAAAGGGATCTGGTAGAATACCCATTATGAAAAGGTGTCTTCTTAATGGGCAGAGGCCCGTCAGAATACCTATCAGCCTCCTAATTCCCTTCCTTGAGATAGAGAATAGCCATTTCGATTCTGCTGGTTTGATCGCCTTAACAAACTCTTTCGATTGCCCATGTCCAGGGGATAAATTCCACTCCCTAAGGAATTGTTTCATGCCCCAGTTATTAATACGCTCTTTCGCTGTGCTCATAGAGCGAGGTAATACCCGTTGTGGACCCAATGATTTATTCTCTGCAGTCCAGAACAAAGCCAAAAGTGTCAGAAAACAATGCATTGACATTTTTAAAGTTTAATTTCAAAAATAGATAAATTGTCAAAAGTGAGGAACCAATAATTTACGGTTTGACATTGTTCCAGTAATATTCAGTCACAATCAAACATTTTGTTTCGGTATGCTTCAACCAAATTGCACCAAAATGCAATGAACGTATATGTCTCTGGCTAATATTTTAAAAAAAAATCCATTAAAAAATGTCAGTCTTGCTCTCAACTTGTTCTAGTCAACAAATCCAGTTACCAGTCAAGTCGGTAAACTCAAGGTGTTCTTGGAAGTTTGAGGTAGCTTAGGAAGGATTCAGTAAGAAGACAAAATCTGCACAGGCGGTAATAATGATATTGGGATGTGTTGTTAATCAGCAGTATAAATAATGGGTCCAAGACTGCACCCTTGTGAGATGCCAGCTTGTATTGATTTGATATTTGAGTATATGTTGATGCAAGCAATGGTCAGTAAAATAGGATTCAGAGTAAAGATAACTTATGGATACAAAACATTGAATTAATAGTGTACCAGGCATATGATAGACCCTAGGCCACATCCAGAAACACACCTAAACAATACTCTTTTTTCTCAAGAGTGGAGGAAATGGTAAAATGACTCTGAAACCATGCTGGATTGGCTTATTTTTCTAGTAATCCTTGCCACATTTCACTCCAAAGCAGAAGTCAGTAAAAATTCTCAGATAGGTGTTTGAGGTTAGTTTAATTTTTTAGTTTTCTTGGGTGTTGGAGGTTGTTTCTGTAGGATTCGGGTTAATAATCCGCATATGTGGTAATTTTATATGTTGTCAGTATTGAGATGAATAAGGAAAGGGAGATTGGGATATGCTGCCAGTTACTGGTTAATGCTGGACAAACCTCTTGTTTTACATATTACCAAGTTTATAAATATGTTTACAATTGAAAAAAAGTAACTGACTGTACTAACTGAAACTAGAATAATTTTCCTACTAAATCACAGTATTTATATCTTTGTATCCCATTCCCAGCTATGGAACATCTGGCAATGTCTAGAATTTAAGTGACCGACAATATGCCATTTTCCCCATTAAATAGGGTTCGAAGAATGATCTCTCGCGGGATGCCAGCTTGGTCTAATATCCGAGTACTTGTTGCTGCATCACACTCGGTTCAGCAATCGGATTCCAGGCTAAGGTAATAAGGGGTGGAAATAAGCTTTTACACACATATAAAGGAAGCCTGTCGGACCCTATCAGCACTTGAGCCACATTCAGGGAAGACACCCAAGCAAGACTCTTTGTCCTCAAAAGAGCAAAATGGTGTCAACAGCATTGAAACTTTGCTAGATTGTAGAATGATAAGGAAGGAAGGCGGATCAGTGAGAAGAATGATTCTATGAGAATCTAGGATTGAGTAATTAAAATTTAAAACAGATTCTTTTGCGGATTTTGGACATCACAGACTGATTGGTCGGTCTGCAGGAGGATATGTGGAACACTTCCATAAGGGAGTTAAACGTGTGGTATGCAGAATTATATACACACCATAAATAGTTGCAAAATTTGAAATAAACCAATTAAGAAATCTGGAGGAATGTAAAATGTAGCATTTGAAGAAGAAATAATGCATAATTTATATATTACTTGACCACTTTGCGTATGAAGCATATTAACCAGATATGTAAAATATATATGAGAATCACCGTTGTAAGTATCTAATGTTGTGTGTAAAGTTGGTGCAACGTTTGCAAGATAAATGGGCCAACAGGACGGCACAGAACCAATTTTCATTAATTAATCTTCCCCATTTGTAGACGGTGAGCATATAATAACATAAACAAAAATACAGTCTGACCTCAACGTCTCACCTTGAGTGTTAGAGGTTTCGGCCCTTATTTGAATACATGACGCTGTCATGTATGACGTCACCGCCTGCCTGGTTAAACCCTTGTAAAGGATCCATGATGGTGATGATATACCGTATGTGTTTCACTCATTTGATAGTGAAGATACATTACAAACTGGCTGCAGCAAGTTAAAGATCCTTTTGCATTGGCCATTATGGTTGATTCAAGATGCAACATGGTTCGTTGGTCACATTTTATAGTTTCCATCAAAGATATCAGAATCATCACAATGTATAACTTAACTGATTTGTTTTAAACCAACACTTTAACTGAACAAAATTGGACGTTTGACAATATATCATTTACAGCCATTGAAACAGTAGTACAAAGAAAGGGGATAGATCAACCATTACCATTAGCTAAGAAGTCATACTAAGTGCTGAATTTGGTCATCAGACTATCAAAATAGCAATTACCGAAGTATGTCCCCAAGGATAGTAGTATATGACCAAGTCACAAAGTTTAACTACTTAATACACTGTACAATAGGTAACTGGGCCAATACATACCTGCCCCACTACTACAACGGAAAATACACCCAACCTTCCACCCTTACATATGTACAAAAGGTGGCTTTTAAGAGGGCCAATAGACTCCTGAGGTACAAGGAAATAAAGCCAGATCGAAGAGGAGCCACTATAACATTATGGAGAGAATTGAAATAAATGAGTTGGATGTAACAGCATCTGACAAAATGAGAGAAAACTCAACAGACAGACCCTTCCATAGATAACTGAGACTTTTTGGAAAAAGGTAGCCCCAATTTTTAGGTAAACTCTAATATGGTACATAGATGGAGCAAAGATGGAAAGTGAGAAGTTATAGGGGTAAAGGGTACGATACCCTAGTGTACCCTAGCAAGGTCCTTTGGACCAATTCCAACAATTTTCTAAGCTGACACATGGACAGAAGTTAATAATGAAAAAGGTACACAGATTTACATTACACTTTACACCCTCAAACAGTGAGGCATTTATAAAGGTATTAAATGTGTGGGATTTCAACTCAAAATTTGTCTTGGAGTGCCTAAATTGCCTAATAGCTCTGGGAAAACATAAAAACATTATTTTACAATGGGGCCTAGGATTTGAAGATATAGAAAGAAATGAATGATTCACCAACTAACATAAAAGGAGTAAGCAGTCCTCTCATCCATGGTTCCAGAACCACAACTAGGTGCATGAATGAGTACTTAAGTTGGAACTTGAAAAATGGCTTAGAAATAAAAAAATCAAGCATTGGACAAAAGCACCAGGTATTAGGCATGCTAAGAGATTTATACATTTCTCAAAAAGAAAGGCGACAAAACTTCTCTCACTTTCTATATCAGTCAAAATTGGAAGAAAATTATACAACTCTATACCATGCATTGCTCTCTTTATTATTACCTAAAGGAGATGGGCTAAGCAGAATCAGAAACATGCCGACTCGGTCAAGTGAAACCTCAGACATCAACATACATCCTTTGTGAATATGAAGCACTAGCTTGTGTACGGTAAAGCCACTTCAGTAAGGCAATGCTCACACAAAAGTGCACAGTCTCAAAAGAATGTACTTTGTTTTGTGTGAAAAAAAATTTAAAAACAACTAGGTGGCCCTAATGTGATGCTAAGTAAGATCAAGGAAAATTTAACAGTCAAAATTGCAAAATAAAGTGCAGCCTCACACCTATGGGACTAGACAATAAGCATGGTGTATAGTATGCTGAAAATAGTATGAAACATGTAAGGTTTAGATAATCAATTAACTTTTATCCCCAAAAAAATGATGGTAGAGCGTATACTAGGCATGTTAGACCGGCCCTGGCGAAATTTAAGGGTTTTATAAAGCTAGAATCATGTCAATCAGGTTAAATCCAAGTTTTGACCATTTTCTGACCTACTTTGCTTACAGAATGTTTGTTAAAATATGTACAAAAAGCAGTACTTTGTTTATTTATCTTTTCAAATCTTACCAAATTAGAATATTCTCCGACGTAGAACATTTTTCTTTTTATGTACCAACAATGAAATTATTACACCAAAAATATAATGTTTTTAAATTTATAATAACCGTTTATGGTCATTTAATTAAATTTACTTTATGCTTATAATTTTTATTAATATTTTAATTTTATTTAATATGAAATTTCTTCTCTGGCATGAAAGTCGGTCTAAGGGTTTTATAACGGTAGTATCACGAAAATGAGGTCAAATCCAATTTTTGCCAATTTTCTGTAGAATTCGCCATAAATATTTTTCACTGTTGGATGTACCTACTATTACTGAACTGCACTAATCAACGTCAAAATAATTTCTGGCCTTTGTTTGTTAACAAACTTAAGGAGTCTTTGTTGGCAAGTGATAATAAGTTATTCCATAATTCCCCCACTTTTTTTTAATGACGTGTCATTATAGAATAGTATAAATTTTCATTTACACATCTTTTCCTAATTAATCTATCTCTGAGAATCTTCTACTATATTGACTTGATTAGTTATTTCTTTACCTTAAATTTTTGGACATTGCTTAATTTAATGTGTTTAATTTTAATTATGACATTTTACTTTTTATCCTTTAAATATTCTTAGTTCTAAATTTATTATTTGGACTAAGAATATGGACGTTGATCAGCAAAATTCTCCACCACATTCTCAACAAATTCAAATTTATTAATTTTGAAACAGAAGGGACCAGATATAATTCTGGTTGAATGAATGTATTTATTTATATTGTATAAATTAAAATTATAAGTATAAAATAAATTTAATTAAATGATCATAAATCGTTATTTATAGAATAAAAAAATATTATTTTTGATGCATTAATTTCACTATTGGTTAACATAAAAACAAAAATGTTTTATGACGCAGAATATTCTAATTTGATATGATTTAAAAAGTTAAATCAACAAAATCTTTTTTTTTTTCATATTTTAACAAACATTCTGCGAGCAAAGTAGGTCAGAAAATGATCGTAACATGGATTTGACCTCACTGTCGTAATTCTAGCGTTATAAAACCCTTTGATACTGAATTTCGCGGAAATCAGTGTAAATTAATTTTTTGATTGATAATTTCGACGACCTTTCTATACATGACTTTCATCATTTTTTTCAAAACCTAGGAGATCGATTTTCATGGTTGATAATTCGTTTTAAAGAAATTGTCAAGGGCATTTTATAACTGTATCAAACATTAAAATCGGACTATTAATTCCATTTAAAAAAAAGAGATTAATTTCTGACAAATAATGTTCCTATTTTGCGTATTTTCTTATAGTAATCGTTTGTACATGTCGTTAAAAAGCGACGTTCCTCTTCTTTTAAATGGTTTGTTTGACGTTTTTTAATAATCTTTTTAGACGTTTTTTAATTAGAGCCGTTTCAGATAGATATTCCAATAAAGACTTCTTAAAAATAGGAAAAATTTAGAGGACAAAAAATCGATAAATTTAAATTCAAAGAAAAATTTATATTTTGGGGTCTCTGGAGGTGCTAAAACGAAATTTCATATTAGTTTCACGAAAAAAAGTTATGATTTAGTTTACTAGAAATATTTTTTTTTTTTACTATTGATAAACTTTGGTAGCAAGTAGAACTTCGACATAAAAATATTAAAAAACGGAAAATTTCAACTTTCAAAACTGTATTTTGTCAAAACCAGGGCATATTGACAAAAAATTGAGTTTACATGTCCGATATATTTTGTAGTGTAGAATCACCAAAAAAAAAAGTTTGCTCCAAATCTTTGACACACCAACCTGGTCGTCCCCTTGTAAGCATGTCCAAGCAGACTTGTGATTAATTTTTAGTTTTAAGAGAACAAATGTTCATGTAAAAAATATTGATTTTATTAGAGTAATTAACTATGTAATCATAGCACACTGGCAAACCACTGAAGATGGTGAAATACTTAAAAAGACCAACCCAGCTCGGATAGCCAGACCAAGATTATCAATATAATCGGATCGAAGTCGCGATAGCTGAGGTGGTAGAGCAGCGGCGTATTTAGCCGAAGGTCTGGGTTCGAATCCCGCTCGTGACGCTGACTTTTTTATCTCAACCAATACCTTACTTAAAGATTAATTAATTGAAAAGAATTTATTTGGTCAATCGGACCACGAAACCTAATCGATTTAATAAGCAAAATGAAGTATGTTTCACTAAAGCTCTCCGTGGCCATTTCATTTGTCACCGAGAATCAAATATTTTACATGACATTTGAAAAATGGCAAAAAGTAGGGGTTGAGATGGAAAGTTATTGTCCAAGTGGATCGAAGTCACGATAGCTCAAGGGTAGAGTAGGGGCGTATCCCAGCCGAAAGTTGTGGGTTCGAATCCCGCTCGTGACACTGACTTTTTTTATCTCAACTAAAAATCTTAATTAATTGAAAGATATTAACTGGTCTAGCGGACCACGAAAACTAGTGAAGTTAACAAAAATGATTTCATTGTATATATGCTGTAATTTTTAGATGGCAAAGGTGACACCCTGGAACCAATTTTTTATATATTTTATATAACGTAACTGCTCCTCTTCACATCTTGCATCATTTAAACAATCAAAATAACTTTTTTAAATAAACAAAAATATTTGCTTTTGACCCCTGCTTTTGCTATTATGCATCTTATCACTTGTTTTTTGTTGCATATTTCTTTTCTTTCAATTATGGATTGATGGTATTAATATTATGAGAAAGGTTAAATACAAATAAGATCCAATTCAAATTAATCATCCAATATATTATATCACATTCAGAATTGTTTTCATTTTATTAACATATGGATTTGTTTTATTATATACAAACTATACATTACAAGGTCTCCTGGAAAAAAAATAAAAGTAAAAAATAAAATTTAATAATAAGAATACTTTATACATTGGAGACAAAGGTACAAAACGGATAAAAAATCAGATGGACTCTTTTTGCCAAAGCTGTTCTTCGTCCCTTAATTTACATTTTTATGTACAATAATAAAAAATACACATTTGATTCATAAATAAGTTAATATACATAAGACACATTTGAATAAAAAATAAATGGACAAGTGGGTAACAAACTAATTTTGATTTTGGGCTGAAGACCCAGTAACAACTAAAAAATTTCTTGTGATTAAAAATTAAAAAAATCGGTGATTAGTAAAACTTTTAAAGGTTTTGATCACAATCCCTTGTTCATATGGTCATCAAAGGTAAAGGGTTTTTTTGAAAAACAAGAGACAAACTTTAACTAAGAACTTATAAATTAAAAATTGCATCTGGTAGAGCATCTTTTGCTGTTAGCTATATTGCACTAACAAGCAATACTATTTGCAATTTTTCATAAATTCATTAATGTCCTACAATGTAGACTACCTTCACTGGATTTTTGGTACTTTTATATAATTATATACTTCATATTTCTGTTCATTCTCGAAAGATTTATATTCTTCTTAATTTTTTTAAACGAGAAAACAGTGAGAACAGTACATCAACGCCAAAATATTATATTTTAAAAAAATAATCTATAGAGGATTAAAAGTCTAACCTATTTACAAAAGATGCGGGCAATAAATAAGCGATTTTTTTGAAAAAACGCCTTGAACGTAATAACGAGAACGATAATAAATTAATATTGTTTTTATACACCGCTTATGTACATTGTGTTTTAAAGTTCATTTCACAATTTCAATTATACGTGAGTCCTTTGGGTAGAACGTATTTTGATAACGTGTAAAGGAATTTCGGGTACCAGTGCACCCCTATTTGCTTGCTCTCTTGGTGGTCTGGAACGATGAGAGACTTCCATGATTTTTCGACAGGACTTGTGACCAACTCGTACACAGAAGACACTGTGTTAGCCGCACTCGAATACACCCTGAAAGGCATAAAAGCGGCATGTGCAATTTTTTGGCTCTCGATGACAGCGTAACAAGAGGCGAGCACACCATCAACTAGAATAGTCCCTGAAGCAGTTAGAGGTGCGATGACCCCCTGGTCTGTTACATAGCTCGAATCGAGAAGCACACTTGTGGTGAATTCTCCACTCGGGGTTCTTGTATAAAGTAAATCCCCGGGCTCGAGCCTCGCCGCGAAAACCGCCTCTACTGGCCCTTCCTTCGACTGCCGCATAACAAGATGCTGTGGTGTCACCCTCAGCTCGGTTCCCGTTGACAGCCTAAGGCTCACAAACTTCCTTTCAGAGACTGGGTCTCTGTCCAGGAACATGATCACCTCCGAATAGGCGGCACGACCCGTCTCGGGGTCATAAGTCATGACTCTCTCTCCAACCTGCAGCTCACTCAGCCGACGCCTCCCACCGTCTGAAAGAATGACAGTGCTGTTGCCGCTGAAGCATCCTCCAGTTTTGCCGGCTTGTGAAGATTCTAAACAAAATAAAACGTTATTAGGATTTATATTTTTTCCATTATTTATTCTTAGCATTACTATGAAATCAAAACATACTTTGCCAAAGACCAGAAATAATAAAAAATAAATAACTATTTTTACTTATATATAAATTAATATCATTAATATAATTAGTTGAACAAAAAACTTGACAGATAATGAAAAATCTGGTTGCTGACCAATCAAATCTAAAAGGTTTCACCTACAGAAGCCATATAGCAATTTCTCCACTCCAAGCAAGACCAGGACGATTTTAGTTTCGTTTAGATCGAATAATCGATCGAATTTATCTCATATTTCATTGGTTCTCATTGTTTTGTTTTTAATTTTTTTATGGGATTAGATTCCTAAAGAAGAAATTCCTAAAGAATTTTACAAATTATACTTCTAAAGGCGTTGCTGCTTATTTAAATGTAAACAGTTCTTCTAAGGGATTAGCGTGATTCCGCGCCTGATTAGTTCAGGCATGGAGAGATAAGTGTTTTTAAAAAAATTCGCTTGGCACAAGACGGGAGCGTGCGTGTTTATTTTTCTTCTTGATCCTTTCAGTTGAAAACGTTCGGTTCTCTCTTAAGTGCGTGTGGTCTACAGGTAGGCAGGCATTAATCCTGTCGGACTGACATCCACTCTTCTTCTAACGGTACACACTGACATTTCCTCCGTCACACCGCAGATTTCCATTCTGCCCAAAAGGGGATCCTATGGACTAATTGCTCCCCGAGAGTGGGCGCTGCTGCGACACGAAGGGGCCTCGGAACAAAGGGCAATGAATCAAGGGGTTAATTGCAGACTAGGTACTGCATACACCTACGCTTTTTCATTGATAAGATATCTCTTAGTAATTTTTTGTTTAAGCACCGACAAAAACAGCTAGCCAGCTACCCCAGACGATAAGAAATGGAGAGGTTCGGAAAACAAAAGACAGTTTATTTAATAAATTTTTATAAGGGCGATCTCGCACCCCTCGTTAAGGGAAAACAGGAATTGTCCATTCTAAAATAAAAATAATAGTCTAGAAGAAGAGCCGACGGTCGGGAGTCTGTGCCACTAAAGAATACACGAGTTACTCCAAGGCATCTGTTAATGGGAGGTTTATCTTCCGAGCTATTTGTCACCCACTTGAAGAGATAGGATCTCTTCTCTCGCTCACACTCCCCTATACTAATTCTTCCATCTGAATGAATACCGGGAGTCATTCTTCATTCTGGATCGGGCTTGAACGATAATAAGAACTTCCATCTCTTAGGGCCGTCCATCAAAAAATACACATCTATCGAATTTTGGACAATTTTACAAACAACACTGGTAAGAATGTATATATATTTTACGAGGGTTCGCAATAGCAGAAATCATTTCAACCCTTAGGGTACCGATGTTTTTGAAATAAAAAAAAGAAGCCCATTTTAAGATTGTCGGGTTCGAATGCAGGGCCTCTGGCTTCGTACCCGGGACCTTCACCTTACGTGATGACCGCCGTGTCAACGCCTAAACCGTTGCTCCCACCGACGCCCCAAGAATAAGAAAGAATCTTTTACGACTGGCCAAGTGACTTCGTGCACAAAAAAAAAAAATGATTCAGATTAGTAAAAGCTGTCAAATAGTAATTAATTATTTTGAAATCAGTAACTCAGAGCGAAGACTACCTGTACAGAAAGTAAGTAAGAACAGTATTGAACTTTACTAGCGACCTGTAAAGAATATTGAAGGCATTCGTGTTGAGATTAGTACAACAATGAGTTAAGAAGTCTAGCAGCATTTTTAAGCTGGAGAATTTATTATAATCAATGTGGGCAGTAAAATTGCAAGAAAACAGTTGGTTCTCTAAAGACCAGATGTAAACTATAGAGCATCCAAGTCAGAGGGGAGAAATAAGCAGACATGTGTGATATGATGTAATGAGTATGGAAAATTTTAAATCATAACCAAAGAGAAAAAATGTTGGGTATTTTAGAAAGGAACGAAAGTTGGACTTGAATTTTTTAGAAAGGAACGAAAGTTGGACTTGAATTTGAAATTTGGTGGTTGATCGGTTTGATATAAAATAATTAAGCATTTTTGTCCATATATCTCTTCCATGCCTAATTAATGGAACACAACAATATATTAACTTTTTTATTTCGAACATTTTGTGTGCTACATAAAAAATAATATAGAACAATTTTTTGACATGATGCACACTACTTTTTCATATTCCAATCCAAAGGAAAAAATCAAAACAAAGTAGTGATTTGGTCGTTTTGGATAATTTAGGTCTGCCTATCCTCGCTGGGTGAGTTTATCAGACTCACTGAAAATGGGAGGTTCTCTAAAGACCAATGGTATACAAGTAGTCTTCATCGATAGATATCAAATATAGATAGATATCATATCGAAATGAAGAGTACTTACGTATTTTAGAATGGAGGGAAGATCGTTGATGAAAATATAAGAGTGGAGAGAGATGTCTACATTGGGGGACACCATATGGAACTTTTATTATTTGCTACTGATTACTGCCTTGTACAACAATCTTTACAGTTTGTTAAATAACTATTATTTGGATAATCTCGCTACTTCTACTTGCGAGGATTATTAGATATGATTTGATGTTCCTCCTCGTTGCCGTGAGGTTTATCCCACTATTTTGTACTTATCATGCTGCTTATCCTTATTGCGTTAAGATCATAACCTAATCTGAGCAATAGGCAAGGGAAAAGGGAAAACTCACATCAATTGACGTGTTGTCTGTTTTATTGGCATAACCTAACCCCTACAGCTTTCGGCGATTCTTTCGGGCTGTTTCGAACTGCAAAGGCGGACAGATTTTGCTTTATTAATTTCCGGGCATGGTAGGAGTATGAAACATAGATAATAAATTCTGAAAACAATAAAATATCTTAAAGAGAGAAACATGGTTCCATCCATTGTTGCGCCCTTTCAGAATTTGTCACCGGCGCCCACTGTTCTTCCTGATTTATTATGGAGGAAAGCGGCCTCGCACCAACACGGTTCAAATATAAATTTAAAATCTACTTCGATCTTTGAATCTCACCTGCTTTGACAGAACAGTGGATATGGGCCTTGGATTCGTAGTAGACCCAATCGAACCCGGCTTCGACAGCCAGCCTAGCCAGCATGCCGAGCTTCGCTCTGTCCTTGTCCGATGTCTTTATATCCACTGCTCTCCCTTCGTAGTGCAGGGAGTCGATGGAATGGAAACCCTGCTCGTCCCATCCTTCGGTTACAAGCAACTTCACTCCCGGCCACTGGTTCATGACAGAAATGGCCAAGGTGTTCAGCTTCTCCATACACCTCTGAAAATAAAAAGGAAAACCGATTAAAAATATATTTAAGTAAACAAGGAACACATTTATTTTATATTTTGTTTTATTGGAGGTTAAATAAAGTTGAAGTATTTTGTTCTCTAACGTCCAAAGAATTGTTGTCTGAGGCTGATATCAACTATTGATTCAGGAGGTAAAAACTATTGATTTATTATTTCTTTTGAATAGCACTTGATTGGTTTAACGTACGTATATCACTTATCCACAAAGAGAAAATAATAATTAAATAAACATAGTTATGATGTAACTTGGTCGTTAGAGATCATTTCGCCCATCCTCGCTGGGTTGGTGCCTTTGGCCATCGACAGTGTTGGATTTGTTTTCTTGCCTCACCCTACTTATAACCTTGACCAACTACAGACTCAATGTAATGAAGACGAGTTAGCAGACTAAAATGACCAGTAACAATCAAATTAAAAAAAAAAAAAAACTAATCTTTGCCATATTTCTTCAATGCCGAATTAATGAAACCGAATTTTATTCACATCAACACATCACTTGTCCATGCAGAGACAAAAAATTAAATGAATTTGTAATTTGATCTACTCAGCGACTAAATTACAGATTCATCACCCCCACAGGAGGAAATCTCACTACAGTTGTGACATGTAAATTTCTATCATTGGCCAAGAATTCAATGTAGATCAATTAGTGGATTCTCTCCCAGCTATAATTAAACCTTTAAGTGGAACAAGAAAATCATGTCTTCTTTTTTTCTCTCACTCTTTTATATATATTTTTAATCAACCTGACAACCTAACACCTAACTAATTTATCGTCTAGAAAATTTCATTAGGTGAAGTATAGTAATTTGGGGCTAAAAATGCTAACTCGGCCTTTGTTTGGTACAATTAAAATTTCGGCCGATCACAGCAAGTAAAAGTGAAAGGTTTGATTATCCAATTCGTCACACCACGTCATTAACTGACCTTGGTCATTACGTACTCTTCGTACCTCCTCTGAATAACACCCAAAAATTAAATAAAATACAAACAATTCCTAAGGTTTTAAAATTGCAATTTGGCATTACCGATAAATAAAAAAAACCTTAAAGGGTTTATTGTTGTGTATTTTTTTGTTTCTTGCTTTATGTATAGAGCAGCTCGATTTCCTCTTTAACGGCCGTTTATTAAATTCAAACCATCAACCGACCAAGAGGTGGTAGGGGTGTTAAGAAACGTGGGAGTCAAAACGGCCCGAGTATTGGGTGCCAACAACACGATCAAATCGAACCGCCCGACGTCCTAAAACACGTGTTAACCACTCGGCGTAGGCGGATGATCCTCGGGGGCTGACCGACGGGCGACAGGCCGAGGGCCGAAATTCACTCTAAGTCGACAAGGAATTATGAGGCCTAGGGTGATTATAGGACGATAATCTTGGGACACCCTTTTAGATTTTATTTTATGACACCCTCTGGAGACGCCCAGTGCTGCGAGCCGTTGAAGGGTATATGATCAGTTAAACTTTCACCTTCTTTTTTGCAGTATACCTGGGCGTTTCGTCCAAAATGAAAAATTTGATTGATTTATGGTGGTTTGTTTCAATAATCCTCCAATGGATTGAGATTAGCAGATTTAAGAGAATCATTGGCCAGAAATTCTTCACTGTCCTATTTTTACACTCTGCTCTAAATAACTTTATTTCGATGGATGATTTATAATTTTAAAAAATACTTCAAATCGCAACGTATTGACACAAACAAACTCTCAGCAAAACTGGCAAACATATTGCCTCAGTTAAACAGGCTAAAAATCAGCTATAGGACTATATACCGAACATTGGCATGTGAGAAAACACCTACCCTCTATGGATCTACCTACCATGATGACCCCATTTGTAGGTTATGTAATGACGAGGAAGAAACTATCATACATATATCTTTGAATGCGAATGGAATGGAGACATAACCTAGTGTATCAAGATGACCCCAGAAAAATAATTGTTGATTGTTAAATATTGTGATATTTCTTCATGTGGTAAAGGGGGATGAACGACTAAACAATTATTACATGATTGAAAACTTTATACGCAGTAGATTTAGACCTAGTGTACATTTTACATGGATCTCCTTCACGATCCTTGCTTGCATCTGGTTATTTTCTCCTATTTGAAAGGAAGGTAGAAGAGAAAAACAGTCGGCCGTTATAATTTAGGCCAAGGCCCCTAATTTTCTTTCGGTATCGGTCGGCCATCTTCAACCGGTGCCGTTTGTGTCGTTGCGTGTAAAGACGGGTGCGTTGTGGCGTGTGTTTGTCAGTGTTTTGACAGCCGGCACCCCTCTGAGATTTACAACCACCTCGGGAGATGGGAGAGGACCCCCGGTGGGGTTGGGGCGACACAAGGAAAGCCGACGATGCCATTAACAACGGACCCAAGGTTCACCACGTCCCAGGCGGACAATATATCTGGGACCGAGGATCTGAGATAGTTCCTCCCCCCCCCCGTCATTCAGAAGAAAGCGGACGATACAATAGTACGGAATAGAAACGGAATCTAGGATTATTCTGCCACTTTTTTCCATGGATGACAATAGATCCTTAATTGTCTGTCCGACGTCAATTTTGTTGCTGGATCGGAAAGGGGGAAAAATTTTATAAACGTTCGATTTCACAAGATGTTAGGCTTAGTTTTTCTTTACATTCACTTATCTCCTAATCTACTTTTAAACCATTGTTGGTCCTACAATTTTTTGCACCTAGAAAAATCAATCATCAATATACTCGTTTAGAAAAAGATGCGTACATCTGTAGAAACTATATGTACACTCTCAATTTTCTTTCAATCTCTCTTTTTCTCTCTCTATGTCTATATTTCTCTCACTCTCTCTCTCACTCTCTCTCTCTCTCTCTCTCTCTCTCTCTCTCTCACTCACTCACTCACTCACTCTCACTCTCACTCTGTATCACTCCCTCTCCCACCCCTTTCCCTTTATGTATGTATCGCTCCCTCCATCCCTCACTATCTCGTTATTTATTTATCAATCTATCTATCCGTCTATCTATACATACTTATTTATTTGTCTATTTTTCCAGCTATGTAGCTATGAATAAGCTACGTTTCTTTCTTTCTACCTCTTTGTTATTACTTTTCTTTATATACCAATCTCTCTCAACCTTTCTCTCTCTCTCACTCTCTCTCTCTCTCTCTCCCTCTCTCTCTCTCTCTCTCTCTCTCTCTCTCTCTCTCTCTCTCTCAGGTTGTTAGTATGAGTGTTCTAGCATGAACGGTATGGGAATACCCTTAAGTAGTTTACAGATCATTACGTAGACAAATACACTATTTATAAAGGTAAAAAATGGTTTTGCACCGAAATCGTTTGTAATGTCTTTGTAGAAGTATTAAAAAGTTTGAAAATGATTGAAATGATTCCTTCACAAAATCACCCCTGAATGTTACTTTTCTCATTGTGGAAATTAAAAAGCATTTTTGTATTACTTTTAACTAGATTAGTTCTGCAATTTTATATATGACGTCTAGCTTTTAAAGTTATTACATAACGTGCAGTGTTTGATTTTAGCATCTAATTTAGCTTACTGTGCTCTAATCCTTATCAATTACTGCAAATCCTATTGTCCGATTATAATCGTTTTTGAGGATTAATTGCATGACTTTATGATTCTTTCGACACGAGCGAATTCGTTGGAAACATATAAAAAATTATTCGGTAATAAGGCTGCTTTCTCGGATCGCAGGACCGGGAAGGCTGCTTTCTCCCATCGGTATTCATAAACAAGGGGAAGAGAAAAAGGCCGATGATGCACGAACACTCGGAGTTGTAAGAGGTCCGTCGTGAGTTCTCATCCTCGTTCAGGAAGCGATTAGAATACCCGGTCAGATTCTCCCTCTCTGTTCACGTTTTCCCGGCCCTCCCCTCTCGTCGGGTCCCCCGGAGTCCCAGATCGGCTCATGGTTACCCTCTATCCCGGGGGAACCTGTCATTACCGGACAACACGTATCTTTCTCGGCCCTAACAACCAAACGGCACGTAACAGAAAATTGTATTTACTATTCTGTTAACTCGGCCGGTCATTCCGGTTTAAACGGTCTATTTTTTTCCCCTTATTCCTAGTAAGCCAATCCAGATCCGCGTCCTGTCGGGTGTCCGGTAGGAAGGAAAGACCGACCGCAGCCGACACCCGGTCGGGAAACCTCACGAGATTCGATTTCACTCCGCACTTTTTTAGTATCGGATATACTAAAAACCACGACACCAGTAAATAAAAAAAGGATGTAATTATAACTGCTGTGTCCTTCCATCAAGAAATCGCGGCTTTATCAATTAATCCTAATAAAAATTAATATAATTCATGCCTGCAAGGACGGGCTAAACGACAATCCGATTATCCTTTAAACGCAATATTAAAAATATTATCTTTTATCATTTCGTACTAAAAAGAATTTTGGTTTATTATGCTTTGATATTTTTTTTTTAAAGATGCTGATTGTTTTTTTCATATAATTTTTTTTAGATAAGGTACATTTCAAAAATCCATTTGCCATAAACGCCCTCTAGTAATCTTTACAAGCAGCCTTCTAGGGTACGCTTTAGTCATCAGGATCAATCAGCGGATCGCATATGATTAATAGAGTAAAAAAGGGGTGCCTCAAAATACTCGTTCAAAATGAATATACACCTATAATTGTAAAATGTTACGGGGCTGAATGAAAACTTTAAGTCTTGCGAGACAACCCTCATCAACGTATAAATGATATTATGAACTACACTTTGAGTTGGCTTCAACAAAAAAAAAAGAGGTTGAAACAAGCTTCAATAATATTTAAAATCTTTTAGTATTGTAGTTTTCTTTTTCTCCCCAACTTAAAATATTTCTTACAAAGAGAAGCTACGGACGTGAATTCATAATTTGGATAAACCTTATACTGATGATACGACCGTTCTTGTCAATGGGCTTGCAGGTCAAAAATAGAGATGGGTAGTGTAGTGTTGTGTTTCATAAGGATAGATC